AAAGAGCCTGGTGTGACCTTCGGCAGGCCCTGGCCTGCTCTGTGCCTTGGTATCCTCATCTGTGACGTGAGTATGACAATAGGCCCCACCTCACAGTGTCAAGGGAGGACAATGCCTGCAGGCGTGAGGCTGCCTGAGTGCTCCTGGAGCCCAATGTGTACCCAGCCCAGAGGTGCTGGCCCCCTTCCTGGCAGAGCTGCTCCTGGCTCTTCCCAAACTGTTAAGATGCAAATGCAGATGGGTAGGAAGCCTTTGCAGAAAACGGGAGCTAACACCTGAAATTATGTTATCAGATGGTTCCTTACCTGGCAGGTGAGGGCCCTGGCCCTGGACTGAAAATTGCCAGAGGCAGGATGCATCTCCCCAGACCCACTGTGTGCCCATGGGAACAGCTGGCTGGGGCCTCTCGGGGCACTGAAGCTGTCCTGGTGCTGCCTAGCTCAGGGACAGTGACAGCCTTCCCTCCTAGTCTGCTGGGACCTGCCGTGGCCTCAGCCCCGTCACCCTGTGCTTGCCAACCCTGTGTGGTCAGACTGCTATCCCTTCCTGGAGAGCCCCCGTGTTTGGGAGCCTGATAGGGACAAGGAGCCTCATGAAAATGCTTTTACTGTTCTGAGTCAAGCTGGGGGCTGGCGGCGAGGCTCCAAGGCTCATGAGGGGCTGGGCTCAGGAAAAGCAGCCAAGATGCTGCTTTTCCCAGGAAAAGGGGGCTCAGAGCCTGCACACCTGGGTTTTGGGCCCAGCTCCTCCAATTATCAGCTCTGTGACCTTGGTCAAGTTATTTGCCCTCTCTGAGCCCTGCCAGCCCTCAGTTTCCTCATCTGGACAGTGGAGACAACGCCTACTTTATGGAGTTGTTGGCAGGATGACAGTGTAGGTCAAGTGCCCACTCAGCACTTGGCGTATAGCTGGTGTTTAATAAATGCCTCATTAAGTTGCTTTTATTTTGCCGGAGCTGAGCCATGAGCCAGGACTTCAGTGTATGAAGAAGGTGGGGACCTGACAGAAAAGATGAGGGCTTAATCAGGCATCATGATATTTGGTTCCTGTCCCTTGTATTGGCCCTAGGCAAGAAACTTAACTTCTCTGGGTCTCTGTTCCCAAGCTCTGGCCTGGCCAGCCTGAGATCTGGGTACTTGTCCATCCTTCACCATTCATTTTCCCTCAGTTTCCTCATCTGTACATGACTCGCGCCTGCCCCTGGGGCCTCCCCTCAAGCTGTCAGACGGTTGAAGGGATCTTACTAGGGGCCCTGGTTCCATGTCCTGTGCTTGTGTGTGTGTGTGTTTGCATGCGTGCGTGTGTGCGCACATGTGCCCTCCCCCGCCTCCTCCCCAACCAGCCCAGCCTCACCCCTGTCTCTCAGAGGCTGCAGCTGAGTGAGGCCTGGGCTCATCCCTCCTAGGCGTGATGCTACAGGCCCGGCCTCTGGTATGCAACTGGAACCCCACAGCAGGTTTTCCCCCAGATAAATCACTGGCTCCTGGGGGTGGGGGGCGGGGCAGGCAACTTAGTAAACGGGAGCCCACTGGAGCTGGGAAGTGTCTCTGAGAGCACTAACCGTCTGCTCAGAGCCACACAGCCAGGGGAGTCCTCTGAGACTCAGGACCCACCCATCTCTTGTCCTAGAAGCGTCTAGAATCGCAGGGCAGCAAGGTGTCAGAGCTGAAGGGACTCTAACAGTCTTCAATGCCTGTACCCATTTTATAGACAAGATGACTGAGGCTCAGAGAGGGGCTTGGGCTTGTGCCAGGTCACACAGTGGTGGAGGCAGAGCAGGGACCTGACCCCAGCACTCTTGGCTTCTTATACTGTGGCCCTTTAGTTCCATTCTAGTCTTTTGGGAAAGAGGAGATCTGGGGGTAGGCCTGACAGGAACACAGCCTCCCGTGTGGCTTAGCCAGGGGAGGCTGTGTGTGTGCTATGTCACTTCCCTGCCCCAGGGTCTGCCTGCCCTGTTGACGACAGGCCTAGCTGAGCAGGTGGAGGGCTGGGCCACCCTGACTCAGCGCCAGGAGCCCCTGCCCAGGTGCCCTGGTGGGAAGGAGTCCAGTGTTCGGGCCAGGTGGATGGACAATGGGATCTCCATTCTAGAGCTGGGAAGGGGAGTGTTTCCCCTGCATTAGTACCAGAGGTGAGAGGAGGACGCGGGGGCGCGGGGAAAAGAGGTGATTCATGGGAAGAAAAAAGGCAAGCAGAGCTCCTGGTGGGCGGGCCAAGCAAAAGTCTCCGTCAGCATTTGTCAGCATCCGTCAGCGTCACGGCCCAGCCCCTGCAAGCCTGGGAAGCAGCCAGAGCAGGGGAGATGGGAGAATTGCAGGAGCTTGGATGACCTGCCCCTCCCTGCCCGCCAAGGCCAGAGGGGACCCATCCTACAGTTTGAGGACAACACAGGTCTGGACCCCACCCCTCCACCCAAGAACTAGCTAGATGACCTTGGTAGAGACTAACCAGTCAGGCCTCAGTTTCTACATGTGGAAAACGGGGCAGATAACACTACCTGAGATTATAAAATGGCTCACACTCAATAAACAATAGTTATTGTTATTATAGAAGGCCCACAAACACACCTTGGTTCGCAGGATAGATGCGACAGGGAAGCAGGTAGGCTGGAAAGCAGGGGCTCCGTGCACCATGGTGCTGTGGGGTATGAATAAAGCCCTGCCTTCTCTGTCTCACTGTCCCCATCTGCAGGATGAGGTGCCTGGCCTCTATTGGCTCTGAGACCCTTCCTGTTGGGCCTTTGAGGCTCCCTGCTCTCTGAGGGGGCAGTCAGTCTCAGCAGTGAGCCCCATTCTTAGAGGGATGAAAGCAGGGTGCAGTGCATACCTGTTTGGGGACATGCAGAAAAGCACTGACTGGTACCAAACAGATCAGGGTTCAAACCTAAGATGGACTTCTTCCTGGTTATGTCATCTTAGGCAGGTGACACTGATAACCTTATGGGTCTTTGCAGGGAACAAATGGAATTATGGGGGGTCCACAAGACTACATGGAGGCCAGGCTCAGCCCCAGCCATAGAGATATGGGGAGGCTTCCCTGAGTGCCCAGCCTGGCCCTGGACACCCCTATCTGGCCCCATCACTGGGCTAGGCCATTTGTCTTTCTTTCTGGGGGAGATTAGACTCTGGCTATTCTCCTGCCAAGCTGGGATCTGATATCTGCCTCCTTCCTACTCCTGGTGGTGAGGAGAAGAACAGATGAAGGGGAACCCTGGCACAGCAGGTCAAGTTTCCTTGGGTCTTATTGTAGTTTCCCCACTTTTAAAAAGGGAGTGGAAGGGCCGGCTGAGTGGCTCAGTTGGTTAAGAGCTCACTCAAGAGTGCAAGCTCTGAACAACGGGGTCACCAGTTCAATTCCCAGCCTGAGCTGAGCTGCTGCTGAGCTGCCAACAGGTGGCAGGATGGCTCAGCTAAAAAAACACAAAAAAACAAACAAAAAAAGGGAGTAGAGGCTGGGTAATAGGATCCCAACAGGCCCTCCCATGGGACTGGGTTCCATGATCTCAAATCAGGCACCCATGTCAGCAGCACTTTCCTATCCCACGGCAAGCGTACGGAGGGTTATTTAGCCTGGAAGCTATGACGGTCCCTTCCTCCTCCCCTTCTCCTCCTCTTCCTCTAACTCTTCCTCACTCCCGTCACCCAATTCCATCTTCACAACAGCCAAAGACGCAGCTTTTATCCTTACCACCTCCCTTTTACCAACCAGAAACCTGAAGCCCCAAAGCTTCCTGGGCCAGGCCAGGCTCCCTGACACAGGCTCTCTGACTCGGCTGGCCCCCTCAGGGGACAGAGACTCAACATCTCTGGAAACCTAAGCTACCTCCTCAGCTCCTGACCCACTTCTCAGTTCTTTGCCCAAGAGCTCCCCCAGGGCCTGTCTGTCAGCCAGGATGGTCCCCAAAGCCAGCATTCAGGTCTGGTGTGATTTGCTGCCCTGCTCTGGGCCCGGAACTGTGAAGGAGTTAAGATTCCACCAGAAATACCTTGCCCACAGCCCAAGGCCAGGGCAGAGATTGCTAATCACTCGCTGCTCTCTACTGAGCCCAGACCTGGCCTCAGAATCCTTCTCAACACAGCTCGCTAGGCAGGCTTTATCTGTTATGTCAGGATGTGCTCTGAAACCATGAAAAGGCACTTTCTCTAAGCAGGAAGAAGCACCCACTCAAGGTCATGGCTATCCAGTAATGGCCTGGCAGTCTCTGCAAGTAATGAGCTCCTCTTAGAATATGTGTCAGTTGAGAATGGCTATCCACACCAGGGACACTGCATAGCTTGGCAGGGGTTGGGAAGGGGAGGTCCAGACAATGCTTGAGGTCCCTTACAGTGGTGAAATTCAGCCCAGGTGGACAACCCTTGGCTGAAATCACTCCACGTCCACCCTTGAAGAACAGGCCATCCCTACCCCCTACACCCAACCTGAAAAAGTTTTGCCATTGCAAAGCTTATGAAGAGACTCAGGGAGGGAGAGCAACTGGCTCTCAGTTGCCCAGCACACCCAGGCAACAGGCACATTTCCAATCAGACCTCCAGGCCAGCCTCAGATGGACTCAGGTGAATTCTCAATCTCCATGCCTACTCCCCCACCCAACAAAAGTAACACCAGAGAGCTCATGGTGTGTGTGAGCCTGCACTTCTCAGGCGTGAATCACAGTGGGAGAAAGCCCCACAGTTCCTTCCTGCCCCACCCCATTGCAGCGCCTTCTTCTGGGTAATCTGCTTACCAGGCCTGGGAAAATCAGAAACACCCCGAACAATGCACAAAGGCCCTCTGAGATAAGGCAGCTCACCTGCCAGAGGACCCAGGCACCCTATCCCTTTGCAAAGAATGAGGACCCTCATGAAGGCAGGAAGGCAGCCAGGAGCCCACAGGGGACTGCGGTGGACTCTCCATGTTGGGCTCCAAGTGAACATGCACTGAGGTGGGGAGATGCCAGGGGCAGGCCAGGCCCACTGGGCCATCATCCTCTCCAGGGACTCCCACCTGCCCTGGCTTACCTTCTGCGCCTGGCTGATCATCTTGCGCACCACCTCTTTGATGTGGGTCTGCCCGTCAATGGGGGGCTGCATGTAGACGCTGGCCCGGGTCACACCACGGTAGGCAATGGTGTCAGGCCAGCCCAGGTCCAGCTGTGGGATGGAGCGATCTGACTTCTGGGGCCAGTACTCCAGTGAGGGTGGTGGCTCGGCCTCGGTGGGGGCCCCACCTGCCCCACTGGCCTCCTTACCGTCCCCGACTCCATTGTCCTCGGGGCCCTGGGGGCAGCTTGAGCCCCGAGGGTCTTGGGAGCCCGGGTCATACACCTCGATGGTCTCCAGGATGCGCTTGAGCTCCAGCTCCGAGAGGAAATCTCGGATGTTCTCCTTCTTCAGCACCTCGTAGAAGGCCTCGGGGCCCCGGGCAACCAGGGCCTCCAGCGCCAGGCGCTGTTCCTCGCTATAGAAGAACTCGGGCTTGGACTCGCTGGAGCGCCAGTTGACATGGCTGTTGTCCAGACATTGCACCTGAGACAAGGCCATGATGCCACTTGTCCAGTGCTTCTGCAGAGGTTGGTAGGAGACAGAATGCTCACAGCACACAGGGCTTCAGGGCTGCCTCTGCTTCTCTGCCCATACAGAACCTGCAGGAGAGACAAGGTGAACCAGGCGTCAGGGCAAAGCACAGGTGGGATTGGGGAGGGGAGACAGGGCAGGGTGAAAGAGATGGGTGGGACACATCCCAAGGCCCAGTGTCCTGTATCTGTAGAGATACAGTGTCCTGTATCATCCCAGAAGATTTCTGGAGCTGCTTGAAGTCCTAGACAACTTCTAGGGGGAAACAGGGCTGGCGGGGAACTTCCAATAAGTTTCCAGTAGTGGGAGGCAGGAGACTGATATCGGACGGCCTCTGGCCCTGCTTAGTGGCGTCCCGCATTCCCAAGGCTTCCGGGAGGGGGGTGGGAGAGAGGTCTTAAAAATCCCTGGGCGCCAGGATAGGCAACCCCAGCGGCCTGCCAGAGGAGGCTAGGGGAAGCGCGGCAGGTGGGCAGCGACGCCCCAGGGGACCGGGATTGAGCGTCCTGGCCGGGACTCGCTTACCGGGCGATCGCGGGCGCGGCGCAGAACAGGCAAGCAAGCAGCGCGGGCGGAGCGGTGTGTACAGGCAGCAGCAGACCGGTGACTAAGTGCCACCCCGCCCACCCCGCCGCCGCCGCCGCCACGGCCGCCGCCACCTGCGGTCACGTGCGGCCCCAGGGGCGGGGCCGGAAACTGATTCACACAGCCAACGGACACAGACGTCGGGCGTCGGGCGGGTGTGCGCCCGCTTCCTCTTTTGTTTCCAGCTCTCAGTGGTGGAATTCTGACAAGCTCAGGGATCGAAGTCCAAGAGTTCCTAGACTATTGCAGCCCAGAGAAGGACAGTGTTCTTCCTGAGGACACACAGCAAGCCTTGGCACACCCCTAGCCCCAGGGCCTGTTGGTAATCTGGTCAAACACTACCTGTGCCCAGTTTCCTGGGTGGGACGGGAAGTCCATGCAGATGCCCAGCTGTCCAGCTGTCCAGCTGTGGGAGTAGAGTTGGGATACTAGGTTGGGAGTCCCCAAAGAAGGGCTAGGACACCATCTGACTCAACCTTAGGAGCCTTCACAGAGCTCGGTGTGGATAGATCAGGTACCAAGTTGTTAGGAATTCGTTCCCTGCTGGGGGAGTCCCCCTCCCCCAGGACTGGTCCTATGTGATGAGTAGGGCCCCACCTGAACCCTGGGGTGAGGAGAGCCAGATAGGGCTGCTGTGGGCTGGGGTCAGGCCCAGTTTTCTGCTCAGTGTCCCTGGAGCTTGGGTCCCCGGTTATGGGAGGTGTGGGGACCACATCTGAAAGCAGGCTGCCAGGGCGGGAACAGCAAAGCCCATTAAACCTGGTGGGACAAACAGCCCCCACCCCATCGTGTGCTACAGCCAGTCAGCCAGGCATCTGACCCTGCCCTTCCCTCCTGTCCCCATCCCCAACCACTTGCCCTGGATGGGCCTGTTCTCTGCTCTGGTTGGGACTGGGTCCCTGAGGACACTCTTCTGTGCTGCTGAAGGCCGGAACCCTCACTCCCCCAGGATGCTAACTACCATCTGTCCACCTGTCAGGCCTTCTCATCTGGGCCCACTGCCCTGAGCAGAGACTGCTCTCTCCCAGCCTCAGCACCCCTTTAGTCCCCATCACTGACCTCGCAAGCCTCAAGCCCTGCACTCCACCCTGGCCCTGGGGGCATCACACTGTCTGAACACAGTGGCCCCAGAGACCAGGCCCCTGCACCTCCCTGAGCACAGTCCCATGCGCCCCTAGCTCTTCCCAGGTACATGCACATACCTTCATCCTCCCCACCACAGGTGGTCCCAGTGGGCAACCACTGCCTTGGGAGCTTTGAAGCTTGATTGATTAGCCACTGGGGACCCAGAACATGACCCTCTCTGGGCCTCAGCATCTCCTTTGTCCTTATCACACCACAGAGGCCCTGGGGCGCATAAGGGAGTCATGGTCCTCAGGGCTGAAAGGCCTCTAGCCCTTCAACCCCATAATTATAGATTCACAGGAACTTGTTTTTTTAAAAAACACAACAGAGAGCTTGCAAGCAGCCTTCACCTGTTGCCTCCAATGGTATCATCTTGACAACTATAATGCAATAACATCACAGCCAGAAAGTTGACGTCAGTTTAATCCAGAGCTTGTTCAGAATTCAACAGTTTACATGAGCTCATTTGTGTGTGTGTGTGTGTGTGTGTGTGTAGATGTATGCAACCTTATCACAGATTTGTGTAACCACCATTACAATCAAGATACAGAACTATTCCATCACCACCAAGCTCCCCCTTGTTACTGCCATACCACCACCCCCATCCCTAACCCCTGGTAACCACTGACCTGCCTGTTCTCCATCTCTGGAATTCATCCAGGTGGCTGTGTGGGTCGATAGCTTGCTCCTTTCTGTGGCCAACTGGCATTCCATGGTGGGGGTGGACCACAGTTTGTTTAACCATTTCACCTATGGAAGGACAGTTAGCTTGTTTCCAGTTTGGGGCTATTATGAATACAACTGATATGAACATTCATATACATACACATATTAAATTATGTATATTTTCCACTCCCACCAACAATGTATGAGTGATCCAATTTTTCCACATCCTTGCCAACGTGTTGTGTTGCCACTATTGTTTTATTTTAGCCATCTCTATAGGCATGTAATAGTCTCTTATTATGATGTTAATTCGCATTTTCTTAATGACTAATGACATTGAACATATTTTTATGGGCTATTTGTCATTTGTATATACTCTTTGGTGAAATGTCTGTTCATGTGTTTTGCCCATTTTTTAATTGGATTGTTTGGTGTTTACTGTTGGGTTCTGAGAGCTCTTATAGAGTCTGGATAAAAGGCCTTTGTCAGGTATGTGGTCTGCAGGTATTTTCTCCGGGTCTGAAGCTTTTCTTTCCTTTTTTTTTTCTTAAAGCATATAATACAGTTGACTCTTGAACAATGAAGAAGTTGGGGCAATGACCCCAAGCCCACCCCTACCCCCACCCCACTCCCCACACAGTCGAAAATCCACATATAACTTTTGATTCCCCCAAAACTTAACTACTAATAGCCTATTGTTGACTGGAAGCCTTATTGATAACATAAACAGTCAATTAACACATATTTTGTATGTTACATGTATTATATACGGTATTCTTACAATAAAGTAAGCTACAGAAAAGAAAATGTTAAGAACATCATAAGAAAAATACATTTGTAGTATTTATTGAAAAAATCCACCTATAAGTTCAAACTCATGTTCAAACCCATGTTGTTCAAGGGTCAACTGTACAATATTATTAACTATAGTCTCTATGCTGTAGATTAGATTCCCCAGAACTTACTCATCTTATAGCTAGAAAGTTGTGTCCTTTGACCAACATCTCCTCTTTCACTTCCATTCCCCAGCCCCTGGCAACCACCATTCTAGTCTCTGTTTCTACGTTTAAATTCTGCATATAAGTGATATCATGCAGTAGTTGTCTTTCTCTGTCTGATTTATTTCACTTAGCATAATACCCTCTAGGTCCATCCATGTTTGTTGCAAATGGCAGGATATCTGTCTTTCTCATGGCCAGATAATACTTTTATATATATTGTCAATATATATATATTGTATATATCCATTTATGTTGATGGACACTTACGTTGTCTCCATATCTTGGCTATTGTGAATAATGCTGCAATGAATATAGGAGTACAGATAGCCCTTAGAGGTAGTGATTTTGTTTCCTAAAGATATATAACCTAGAGATGAGATTGCTGGATCATATGGTAGGTCTATTTATAATTTTTCTTTAGGAACCTCCTTGTTTTCCAGAGTGGTTGCACCAGTTTACATTCTCACCAGCAGCGCACAAGGGTTTCCTTTTCTCCACATCCTCACAACATGTTATCTCTTGTCTTTTTGTTAACAGCTATTCTAAGAGGGGTGAGGTTTTGATTTTCATTTCTCTGACGATTAGTTGAGCACCTTTTCATGCTCCTATTGGCCATTCATGTGTCCCCTTTAGAAAAATGTCTATTCAGTTCCTCTGCTAATTTTTGAATCAAATTGTTTGGGCTTTTTTGCTATGGAGTTGTATGAGTTCTTTATATATTTTTGGATAGTAATCCTATATCAGATATATGGTTTGCAAATATTTTTTCCCAGTTCGTTGGTTGCTGTTTCATTTTGTTGATGGTTTCCTTTGCTGTGTTGAAGCTTTTTAATTTGATGTAGCATCACTTGTTTGTTTTGGGGGGTTTTTTGCCTTTGCTTTTGGTGTCAAATCCAAAAAGTCATCTCTAAGACGGATGTCAAGGAGCTTACCCTATGTTTTCTTATAGGAGTTTTACAGTTTCAGGTCTTATGTTCAAACCTTTAATCTATTTTGAGTTGATTTTTGTGTATGGTATCAGAAAAGGGTCCAATTTCATTCTTTTGCATGAGTTTATCCAGTTTTCCCAACACCTTTTATTGAAGAGCCTGTCCTTTTCCCATTGTATATTCTTGGCTCCTTTGTCAGAAAGTAATTGACCATATATTCATGGGTTTATTTCTGGACTCTCTATTCTGTTCCATTGATCTATGTAACTGCTTTTGTGCCAGTACTATTCTGATTACTACAGCTTTGTAATACAGTTTGAATCAGGACGTGTGATGCGTCCAGCTTTTCTTTTCTTTCTTTTTCAGGTTTATGCATTTATTACTGCTTCATTTTCCAAGTTAGGGCAGGCAGTGATCCTGGAGCAGGAGATCCCTGAACAAAGGTGATAGGCGGATGGCATGCCACGTAGTAGGGGTAAAGGAGTTGGAGGAAGGGGAGCAAATCTTGCGGGCAGAGGTGGTGCTAGCGGAGCTGGTGGTGGTGGGGATGGGCCTCCCCCTGCCTGTGGATGTGGCAAGGAGGTCCTGGGGTTTATGAGCAACCTGCAATTTCATGCTACTTGGTTTGATGTTGCTGAAATTCTGTCCCAAGGTCGTTGAATTTGTATTCCTGTTTTTGCAGCTCATCTGGAGCTTATGGTTGGTTTCTGAGTTCTTCATTTCTCTGTAGAGATCATCACTAACAGAGGTGTGAAGTCAGTATTGGATCTTCGTCTGTGCTTGAGCTATGGGTCCACCCCATTGCAGCACTGCACCCACTCCAGCTCATACTCTGGTTTTCTTACAAAACCATGACCTGGCTGAGGCCGTGCTGGAGAGAAAGACCCAGTCCTCTCTGCTCCTCACGCTGGGGCCCTTGGGGCTCGACTGCTTTTCTTCCTTAAGATTGCTTTGGCTATTCAGAGTCCTTTATGGTTCCACACAAATATTTTCGGATTGTTTTTTCTATTTCTGTGAAAAATACCATTTTGATAGCAATTACAATGAACCTATATAGATTGCTTTGGGTAGTATTGCTATTTTAAGAATATGAGTTCTGGCTTGATCACTTCAGGTTCACTTGAACCTGAAGCTGAAGTTGTATAATATTGTATGTCAACTATAAGTGAATATATATATATATATATATATATATATATATATATATATATA